GTGTGTGTGTGTGTGTGTGTGTGTGTGTGTGTGTGTAGTAGTAGTCTGTGTGTGTGTGTGTGTGTAGAGAGAGAGAGAGAGAGAGAGAGAGAGAGAGTGAGAGAAAGACAGTGTGTGTGTGTGTGTGTGTAGCGGAGTCCATGATCATTAGTGTCTAGCAAAGTTTATGCATTTAAGCTCCCCGACGCCTTGTGCAGGGTTCCTTTGCCTGCCCCGGCCCATGGCTTTGTGAGACGCCTTGGCCCAGGGGTGACAGGGTGTTTTTGTCTGTTGTCCTGTGCCCATGTGGGTTCCTTGGCGGGAGTTGGGATTGTCTGGTTTCACCCCGTATGCTGGACGAGGTGCACCCCATGTTGTGCCAGGCGTGTGTGGATCTCCACAGGTGGGGGATGCTGGGGGGAGGAGGGGAGATCAGATCTCTGCCGCTTTTGCATCTCCTGCCCTGGCAGGGGCTGGGTTGTGTTGGCGGGACCTGGGCCGCTGTCGGTTCCCATCCACAAACTCATCCAGTTTTCGCGCCTTTGGGCTCCCTTCTCCCCGGGGGCCGCAGCCCCGCGCGTGGCCAGCCCTCCCCAGCTGGGCTTTTCCCTCCCCTTGACACCTCTCCAGCCCCCCCGCGGCCCGTGTCCGGTTTCTCCTGTCAGAGCAGGAGCCCAGCGCAAACCAATGGCGGAGGGAGCGGGGGAAAGGCCCCCTATATAGCCCGGGGACTCCGCGGCGCTCCCAGTCTGCGCCGAGCCGGCTCCAGGAGCGCAGCGCAGCGCCCCGCACAGCCCGAGCTCCCGGAGGAGGGTGAGTCGGAGATGGTGCGACTCACGCCGGCCCTGCTGCTCTTCGCCGCCGCCAGCCTGGCCCTGGCCCTGGCCCGAGGTAAGGCTGGTGCCTTGGGGGCTGAGCCGCGGCTGGTGCCCGCAGGTCCCTGCGCCGCCGGGGCAGCCCCAGGTGAGCCGGGGAGAAGCTCCCGCCTGGCCGCTGCGCTCCCCAGCGCACGGGACTGCCTGTCTCGCAGCGCGCCGGGAGCTGAACGCTTCGGGGCAGAGGAAGCCCCGGACCCTGGCTGGACTGGGAGGGGGGCACGGTCGGGGAGACACCTGCCCTTCCCGCCCCCAGCTCGCTGCTTCCTTCCCCACCCCCACCCCATTCACCGTCCGGCTGCCCGGTGCCCCGAGCCGGCGGCGCTGCCCAGAGACGGGGCTGGCACCGGGACGCCTGGGTTCCCTGGCTGGTTCTGTCGCTGACTTGCTGAGTGGGTGACGTGACCTGCGGGGAATCCCACGCCGCTGCCCGGCTCCCCGCCCGGGGGTCTCGCTGCTCCCGAAGCAGGGGCGGGGAGGGGCGGGGAAGCCGAGCCAGGGAGCGCCCGGGGTGGGCCGAGTGTGAATGCAAAGCCCAGCTCCGTTAGAAACACAAAATCCCCGCTCCCGCATCACCCCACCACGGGGCTCCCCTCGCCAGCTGGGGGGTGCATCGGCTTAGACCCGGCCACGGGCGGGGTCACTCCCTTCACCCCAACACCCGCAGGGGCGATATTGGCCCCCCATCTCTGCACACACACACACCCCAGTCCCCCTGTGCCTGGCTCTCAGCCTCCCTGTCCCTGGAGATCGGCTGGTGGGAGAGTGCTGGGTGCACGGAGGTACCGTGGCTGGCTGGGGGTCCCTCTGGCTCGCTGGGCCTTGGAGGTCTCCGGGAGGTTTCACGCTTGGTGGTGGTGGTGGGGAGTCGAGTCAGCGGACATGACCGGCCCCAGTAGGGGAACGAGCCGCTCCGCAGGTTCCAGTGACCCCCAGTTCCTGCTCCTCGCCCCAGCTTGGCGTGACCCCAGTGGAGACGCTGGGCACAGCCCGAGCCCTAGATGTGTTACTGGGGCCCTGAGCCCCCCAA